AAACAAAATCTAACATAAACCCCAAACAAGTCTTTTATGCCTTGGTTTCCCCAATGGTCCCAGGACAGAGCTGTCTGGCCATGAGTAGGTGACAAAGGGCCTCTGCAGAGAGGCACTCAAGAGGTGCGAAGTGTCCATCTCTTCCTGTCACCACCCTTTTGGCACCCATGGGATCAGGCCCTAGTCAGCCTGCCAAAGCTGTTCAGAAAGCAGCAAGCACAGAGATGGTGGCAAGAGCTGGTCCCAACCCCCCCCTTCCCTGTCTCCAGCCTCAGCAGAGAATGGGGTCAGCCACTCACCTCTAGGGTTTCAGCACGGCTTCTGACGAGGGTATGATGACAAGGGACGAAAGCAAACAACAGGAAGAAAAGCAAGAGCCTTGCCTATGGGATAGGGCCTGCTTTCCAACCTCCATCTCTACCCGATACAGCACCCCAAGTCCCACTGAGGAGGTGGGTGGGTAGGAGGGCAGGGTGACAGGCTGTATGACTAAATCATGACTGTACAATGAAACTGGCCCAGCAGAAGGCTTGGCACAGAGAAGGGACCTCTAGCTTGCACTCTCATCCATGGCAGGTACGAGGGAAGTCAGAGAAGTTCACTTATATGAAGGATGCTATTTCTCTGTTAACAGAAACCAGCCTATTTTATCCTCAATAAGAAAACATGGTTTTGCACACAATCTCTCAATGCTTCCTCGAGTCCTGGTATTCCAGTATAGCACAAAGCTTCCTCCTCCTTCTTCCCCTCCTTCCATTGCCACATCACCCTCCCTCCTCTTCCCCTCATTTCACCCAGATCCTTAACAGGAAAGTATCACTTGGAGATACCACAGGGGACACAAATGTCATGGGGGCTACTCAGGCCAACACCAAGGGGGTGGGGACTTCCAGCTGGCACCATCCAAGGGGATCCCATTTCAGTCCCCAGGGCCAGCTGGACCCAGAAAGGGACAGCCTTTACCCTTCTGGTGGCCAACATGTCACAACACCAATCACTCAACCTGCTACAGCCTCAGATGCAGACTGACATCCCAATCCGGGGGCCCAGAATGAGGCCCCTAATCACAGATCAGCCCATGTGCACAGTTGGCCACATACTGGAAGAGACACCACCTGGAGAAGACTAGCCCCAGGTGCGGCTGGTGAATCCTAGGAGTGTATCAAGAGCAACTGTCACTGCTGCTGCTGATTTTGGATGGCATTTTTTAAAAAGTGGCTCATGAACTACCTAGATGAAATTTGTTGGAGCCTGTGTTAAAATTGCAGTTTCTGGGACCTCACCCCAGACCTCCTGAAGCCGAAGCTCTATGGACAAAACTTAGGAAGCAGCATTTTAAATCAATACTCAAGGTGACCATTAGACACACTAACATTGACAGTCAGTGCTCAGAGATGGTCCCAGTAGTAGTCCTATAAGTCTATTAACAAGAAGAAAAGAGGAGCCATAAGCTACACTGACTTCCTACATCTCTCCTGTCCCAAGCACAGGTATTTATCCTCATCTGTCCTCTCCTCCAGCAGCAGACTGGTTCTCTGGATCAGAAAGGGGGAACCCAGGCCAGCACCAGGGAACAAGGGCTCCAGCAACTTGACTTTGAGTTTCACAGGACTCAAAGCCAAAAGGTAACCATGATTAGTTAGGCTTCTTGATCCATTCATTTAACACGTATACTGAGTGTGTATCAGTCACTTTGCTAATGCTCATCTACACAAAAATTACAAAACAGATAAGGTCCCTTGCCTCACCTCCTCAGATCCTCACAAAGAGGAGAGCTTTTCTTACAAAGTAGCTTCAATAGAAATTTCTTCACATAGGGTTTACAGATTAAATAAATAAATAAATATAGCAAGTGTGGTAACAGATTTCATAACACTGTTTCTGGTAGCATCTCTCATTAAGGCCAAGGGCATTACTCCCAGTACCCATCTTAGTGAAAGCAACTGGAATCCAGATAAATGGTCCAATACAGAAGTTTTTTTATGATGCTAATTGTTCCAAGGATAAATCCTAAGGCATGCAGAAGAAAAAAAAAGACCATTTGCCCTTCAACTGTAGCAATATGGGAAAAATGCTTTGGATACAAGTGAAGAGAACAGGATATAAAATGTTATGCTCCACGAGGTGAAAATCTGTATGCATATGAATAAAGATAAGAAGGGAATATGAAGATTTAAAAATAAAAAAGACATAAGGGCTCAGGCTCCTTCGTGGGGAGGGTGCTCTTAAATCTTAAAATAACGATTTATCATTGCCATCACCTGGCCCACTAGCTCCTGCATCCAAGCCTATTTAAATGCCTCCTTCGGCCTAGCAGAGCCAAGCTAGGAACCTCGGGCTCTGGTAAGAGCCCCATCTCCACACCTATTGCTGGTTTAAAGCAAATGGAATGACATTATGTGACTATCAGTGACTAGATAGAGAGGCCCACAAACAAAAAGGTGCTCAAAGAACATCCACATGAATTCCCTACCTGGCAACCCAGCCACCAATGTGGGTACTGGAGGCTACAATGACAAGGAATGACAACCCACAAGAAGGCTTCCCATCCATATCTGACCCCCAGAAGACTAAGTGATTTCTCCCCAGGCCTCCTGGGCCACCTCACCATGAGTGCCAAGAAGAAGCAGCTTTATGCCCTCTTTCTCTCCTTTCAGTTTGCAGCACAGAAAATCACAAATAAGACAGCAATCCAGCAAGGAGTCCCATCAAACAGAGTAAGCCCCTTCAGACCTTCACAGGCTACCCTGGTGGGCCCATGACATTCCCAGACACAGAAATCTAACACCTATGGAGCCCTAGACAGACAGACAATGATGAGTGAAACCCAGTCCCAGACCTTTATAAAATATACAGTGTAAACTGAGAGGCTGAAGGAAAGCCACAGCCTTCACTTCCTAACCCCATCAGCAGCAGCCTAGTGAGGACCTTGGCCCAACTTGCTCCAGGGGTTCATATCGCCMATACCAGCCTACCATGCCCCTTGCTGCCTCCACATCCAAGACAACATCCTCCCATTCTCCCACCCCCAGACACTACGGGCATGCACGTTCCTAACTCTTCTAGATGGCATTTGAGTCTATCAGTCAGGAACAAGATTCTGTCCCAAAGTTAACCTGGTATACAAGAGAGTCCCAGTCTTGGCATAACCATCTCAAAAGAGGGGGAGTTGCTGTCTGAAGCATACGATTTCACACAAGAATCCTCTTCTCAAGTTGAAAAAAAGAAATCAGAAATTAAACCTCATCTGGTTTGGGCAGGGAAAGAAAGATACCAGTTGGGAAGGACAGAAAAAAGTGGAAAGGAGGTAAGAAAGGAAGGGGATGCTATCACACAGGGAAGTTCAGGTGGGTAGGGAAGGAGTAGAAGATGAAAGCTCAAGGCAGCTGGCTCCATAAAGTCACCACAATCACTATCTTATGTCCCAGATTTTCAGCTTCCAGTTGTCTCTCCCTCCTCACCCTTGGGTGAGGGGATACTGTTGAGATAAAGAAACCAAAGCACTGCATCACTGACTGAAGACTCCAGACATCATCCCCATTTCTGATACCTGGGCTATGTGTGGGCATATCTTCAACCTGGTATCCCTGCCTGCACCTTCCATTCTTTGCCAAAGGATATCTGCCAGAGAGCCCAGCCCCCATATCTCCCCTACCTTAGGGGAGGAGGGCATCTGACCACCCACATATCTCTATAGCAACCACTGCCTTGGACTCAAGGTGCCCAGAGAGAAGGAAAATAAACAAGTCAAGTTTACAGTCAATGCACTCAGTGAGAGATACAGGCAGGGAAGGGATAGCAAAACAAGCCCTGCTGGTAGAGATAGGAGAGACTCTCCAGCCAGGGGGCAAACACAGTCCTGCTAAACAGGTCCCAGGACAACTGCCAACATGACAGAAGCCCCTGTCAGCTCTGTGGAATTTTATAGCTTCTCTGAGTGCTTGGGACATCTATTACATCTCTAGCCCCAGAGATGCTGGCATCATTATTGGCCAAAGCTCACATCTTCCCCAGGGCATCTGTACTGGTTCCTAATATATTTCCAGCATCCTACTGCCCAGCCCTAATTCCTTTCTCTGAGTCTCATAACCTTTATCCCTGGGCTGCATTCTACAGCCCTCAGAGACCTGACCTCTCTGTACTAACCAGACTTATTTGCAGAATGCTTCACACATTGCTGGGTCTACACATATCAGATGAGGTAAGTTTGGCAAACACCCAATAAGAGGTTCACAGAGCATACGTTAGAGGTGTTAAAGATGGGCCCTGACCCTTCCAGCCTCAGGTACTAGGGAGGATCTCACAAGTGAGGCTCCAAGGTCTGGGCCTTCATGTTCCCCACATCCCAAGGCAAGGCAGCTCCTGCCCAGTATGGGCCACTGGGATTTCCAGACCATGAGGCATCATCACTCTCCATCCAGGACAGACTACATCTGCTACTGCACTACCAACTTTGTAATTTGATCAAAAAAAGCAATCAAGTTCATCTGGCAGGATTTGTTCCCGAGAAGCCCTCGCCAGTAGCAGCCTCCCCTGATGTTTACAGATTTTCTTCCCTTGGGAGTCTGTTCTGCCGCCTGGTGGGTAGGGGAGGCTGGATTTGTCAGTGCTGCTCATTTACTGCATCCATCCAAAGTCACCATCGGGGCACAGGGACTAGGACAGGCCTGCAGTGGCCATCACTACTCTAAACAGTGCTCCAAATTAAGAGCTCTCTGTTCCATGCCACCCACCACCCCAGATCCTCCAACTCCCTAGGATCAAACTCCTTTAAGCCTTTAGGGATCACTCCAGTTACCCATGTCTCTTACATCTTCTTCATTCTTTTCTCCCTAAGCATTTTCAATACCTCACACAACTCCTTGTTTAGCTTCAAAGTCCACCAGAAATTTCAACTCATTTTTAAGTGCTAAAACATACTCCCCAATTCCTAGGGCACCTGCAGAAGTCAAAGGCCCTGGAAGGATCCCCAGGGAGAAACCAAGATGGAGAACACTCACCTCGGGCTGACAACTTCTTGGTGTTGATGATTTTTGCTGCATACTCCTGCGTGGAGGTTTTCTTCACACACCTGCGGACCACAGAGAAAGCACCCCTGGAGGGAGAAGGGGGAAAGAACTGGGACACCGAGCAGGGCAGAGTGACACAGACACACTTTAAATCTGAGGACAGTGATGCTCTCACCAGCAGACCTTTAGAGACACACACACACACACACACACACACACACACACACACACACACACACACCAGTGCAGTGACCACCACCAGCCAACATGAGGCAGAAGGATGAAGCCACAGCATGACACTGAACAGATGTGGGTGGAGTACCACCTGGTTCCCACCCCCTCATCTAGTCCCTGGGCAAAGCAACAGCCCCAACCTCAGGCTGTACATCAGGAGCTGGTGGGCGATGCTTCAAACACACACCTGCTGCATCTCACTGATAGCCCTGCAGTCCTGGCCAAGAGAACCAGAAAAGAAAAAGAGAACCTGCCCTTCTCTCTGCAGTAATAGTTGAGGGTAGAGGAAGGAGAGGTTAAAAGAAAAGTATGATTCCGAGAGAAATCTCCATCGACCAAGGGGGAAAGTGAAGCTCAACCCTTCCCTCCCATACAGCTTCATCCCACCGCAACCCGGCTCAATTGACAGCCTTTGGGGAAGAGGGCACAGTTCTGAGTCTGACATCAATAGCTCCCCTTCCCCATGATATTTTCCTCTACGTTCCCCGCCAAATGGGAGCTCGCATTCCCGGGCTCTGGAAACGTCTAGGGGGGCGAGTAGGGCGGGGGCTGCAGTGGCCGGGCTTCGCGTCGCGGGTGGTGGTGGTGGGGGTTAGGGCTGCAGCAGCGGCCAGCTCAGTGCTGAGGGGAGGGGGATGCTGCGGCTGCAGCGCGCGGCTCCCGGGACCACTGCAGGGATGGGGGGAAGGGCTGGGGGTACTGCAGCACTGCCCAGCTGCGGGGCTGGGATCCTGGAAGCAGCATTAGCGGGGGGGCGGGGCCGGGCACCAAACATCCCCACACACCCGGGCACCGCAGCGGGGTTGGAGCTGCAGGGCTAAGGGAGGGTCTAGAGTGCCCGGCGCGTGGGACCTAAGGGTAGGGTGCAGAGTGAATCTCTGAGCAGGGTGGAGACAGGACTGTAGGCAGGCGGGGTYCGGAGGGGGGGGCGCCTGAAGGGTGCAGGAGGGGAGGGGCTGGAGAGCTCCCAGGAGCGGTCCGGGGGCTGCAGTCCCCGCGGCAGCGCGGGTTGCAGCAGCCCGGGCAGCTGCTGCAGGGCGCGGAAGGTGCTGAGGGGCAAGGAGCCGAGGGTTGGGGGCCCGGGAGTCAGCACGCGGGAAAGGCTGGGGGTGGGGAGGATCGAGGGGGCGCTGCAGCGGCCGGTGCAGGGCCGGGGGGCGGGGCGAGGAGCCGCATAGCGCCCGGGCGACTGGGGTAGGGTGGGGGGCCAAGGCGGACAGCGGGCGGCAGGCGGGCCATACTTGCCAAGCTCCTCGAAGAGCTGGTAGTCGTCGGTGAAGCGAGTGCAGGTGGCGGTGGTGGCCATGCTGGCTGGCGGGCGGGCGGGCGGACGCGGCGGTGCAGCCCGCGCCGACGTCGGTGCACAGTCACCGCCGCCCGGCCGAGGGAGCAAGAGGAGGAGACGGGGCTGAGCCCGGCAGCACCGCGAGACTTTACCGGGGAGAGCGAGGGAGGGAGGGACACCCCCGCGCCCGCCCGCCCGCCCCGCCCCCAGCCCCGCCGGCCCCCCCGCCCGGCCCCCGGACCGCCCCCGGGGAGGAGCCTCCCGTCACCGGCCCCGCCCGAGCCGGGAGCGGCCGGGGCTGGGCCAGGAGCGTCAGAGAAATGTTTGTGGGGGGKTCCCAGCTCCGGACCACCAGCGCTGGCCGACAGAGCTAAAAGGTTCGCGGTCTGTGAGCTAGTCCTGGACCTTGCAAGGGCTCTGAAATATTCGTGCGAGGATGGGTTAGAAGTGGTGTATAGGTCCGGACCATTGAGCTTTCTGGGAGAGTCTCCACACGTGGGTCCCAAACCCCCAGCCCGGCTTTCACCAAGTGGAGAGACGGCCAAGGTCAAGAAGACTGTATCAAACTGCACACTCTGGAGACATCCACAATCTGTACAGAAGAAGCTGCCGGCAGTCTTCCCTCAGGGAGCTGACAGTCTAGCCTTGTGCAAGTATCATTGCCATCATTGGGGGTGGGGGACCCTTCAGGAGTGGTTTCATCAGGGAGATCAGGCTAGAGGCAAAGGATGCAAGTGGCACTCTCACTCAGGCCAGCAATGAAAGGGAAGAAAGGGGAATGATTTGCACAGGCTTTGTGTCTTTGGTGGCTAAAAGATCAAATAGAAGGAAGGACAAAACATTCCATTTTGTTGTAAGCCATCCTGTACTTTTATTTTATGGCACATATTTTGTAATGTTACGTTTTTCTGGTATGAGAGCTAAAACATTATAGAATGAACTCTGGCATCTGACTATCTATCTTGGATTTCTGGGTAACTCAGTAGCCAGCTATATGACCTTGGGCAAGTCACTTCATCTTTCTGTGCCTCAGTTACCTTGAGAATTGGTAATAAAATAGTATCTTCACAGAGTTGTGAGCATTTAATGGGCTAAATCACATAAAGCATTTATAATAGTACCTGGTATCTAATTAAAACTGCTTGCTGTTATTTGTTTAATATTTGCCTTCTCACTAAATTGTAGGCTTCAGTTGGGCAGGGCCTCTGTCTTTTTGTTCACCCTGCATATTCAGTCCCAGACCCTCAGTAAATATTTGTGTAATGGTAAAGGGAGTTACCACCCCTTCCTCAGTCCCCAACATCACAGATTGGTAGCACAGAGGCACATAACTGTCTCCATGGAGGAGAAACAGGCTGGGCAGGTTCCTGATCTGCTAAGGCAGCTGTACCCCAAGTCAGAAGCCAGCCTCAACTGGGCAGGATGGAGTTCAGCCAACTGCTGCAGCTTAGACTTGATTACAGCAGGAAGCCCACAGRGGAGTCCTGTGTCTATTGTCAGCAAACAGGGGAGACAATTGAGAGGTGTCCCAGCCTCCTGGGGGAGGGGTGGGTGGAGCAAAGCTCTCAGGGAGTACTTCCCTCCTTTCCTTACCCAACAGCCCAAGGAGTTGCTCTGAGAACAAGACTGTCCAGTTGGGATGATTAGGGAATAGAAGGGAATGGAGTCCAAGAGTAAAAGCATTAATTTATTGCCTGGAAGGAGGGCATAAAGGACCAAGGAAAGGGTAGAGGTGAAGAGCATTATGCCCCACCCATCCCCAAGGCAACAGGAAGTAAAGCGGTGGGGGTAAGGCCACTTCCTACCTCAAAGCACCAGGGTGAGAGCCAGGTCCCAAGTCCCAGCGTGGGCAGGGCAATGAGAATGTGAACATGGAGATGCCAGTAAGCCTTGAGTTTCTGTCATCCATCTTCAAGGTAAAAGTAACTGCTAGCCTGTGTTCCAGAAATGGAGTCTGCATATCAGTTGATCATCAATGTGCCCTTCCCGGTACTCAAGGCGACTTGGTTCCTGACTTCCAGACGCTGATACTTGAAACTTTATATTCATTCATGTAAGGTGGAGAGAGGTCAGACTAGGGCTGTCATGGAGTCCCCTAAGAGTATCCCAGGGGGAAGTGTAAAAAGAGGACTATAACTAGCCAATCTCCTGTGCCTGCCAGGAGAGGTATATCATCTCCAATGAGGGTGAGGGCTCTACACTGGCTATTTCAGGGTAACCATAAAAAGAACTTTACATCAAGTCCCTGGGTAAAAGAAAAAGTGATAAGAACAATATTGGGGTGAAACTTGGGAATAACTCACATTACTGTAACTAGCTGCCTTTCAACAAATATTCATCGACTATCTACCATGTCCTTGGTGCTGCCCTTTACTTTTGGAAAAAAACAAATAAAGTGGAAATTTAGAATTTACAAAATTAGAAGGRAATCAACCCATTCTCTTTTTCCTTTCTATCTCTACCTCACTTCCCCCTCCCTGCCTCACTACTTTCTCAACAGCACACACTGACGTGTCCATGTGGCACTTTGGAGCCTACAGACTCCTCTGTGTGTGCACACACACACCCTTCTTGATCCCTATTGCTGTAACACCCACAGAACCTCCAGCTACCCCACAGCAATTAGAGGGAAGATACATACAAATAATAACAAGCTCACCAGATCCCTGCGTATCAGTATCTATGGCAACCTCATGGGGTCCTCAAGCTGTGCTCTTCTGGTTGCAGCCAGTCCCCTGGGCAGCACCAGCAATCAAGCTGTGGCAAGCGCTCCAGGAACAGGGAATACTACAGAAAATTGATGCCCTGAATATCACCAGAGATACCCCACTGGTGGGACCCTGGGACCCTTCCTCATTCTGACCTTTGAAGCCCCCCCAAATTATGCCATTTTTTTCTGAATGAGAGCCTTCCCTCTCTAAGTTTAGAATGCAATTTTAGAGTATGAAGGTACTTACTCTTCAGATCTAATAAAAATGGAGCAGTTTGGGGCTGGAGATGTGGCTCAAGCGGTAACGCACTTGCCTGGCATGCACGGGGGTGCTGGGTTCGATCCTCAGCACCACATAAAATAAAATAAAGATGTTGTGTCCACCGAAAACTGAAAAATAAATACTAAAAAAATTCTCTCTCTCTCTCTTTCTCTCTCTCTCTCCTCCTCCTCCTCCTCAAAAAAATGGAGCAGTTCAAAGTGTGGTATTTAAAGCTAGGGGGAATAATGCCATTAGAAAACAGTTACCCACTTGTTGGGAGATTTTGTAAAATCAGTTTGAAGGAAATTCAGTCTTGAGTCCATGAGGGGTTTTCAATCCACATTGCATAGAATCCCAGGGCTTATGTGGCTATGCTCCAGTTGCTGCCCAGCATATCTACTGGGGTTTCATATAATATTTGGTTGAAGATGAAAATCATTGGCTAAAAAGAATTTTGAAATCCACTGAACTAGTGGCTTCTGAGAACCTCTCCAACTCTAAGATTCTATGACTAGTTTTGGAGAATTAGATGTGATAAAATCATGACCTCTCTCCATGAAACTCTGAAATATTAGTGATAAGGCATTTGAAACTAGAGATGTGATCATGGGGATAGGAAAGAGTGAGAAAGACAAATAAAAACATTTAAATATGCAATCTCCAAAGAGGGAGTGAGGGATACCCCTGTCTTATCTGGAAGATGCATTGAAAATGGACTTCTTTAAATCACAACCATACACAGAAAACTTGATAGCCTCCATCCCTAGTGAGAACCACTCCCAAACAAGTCACTGTCCATTGTGGGAGTATTTCCCCATCCTTTTCCTAAGAGGGGAAAAAGTACTAAGAACCACAGATTAAATCAATGACCGGCATGTCTTAGAGGAGGAGCTGAAGTATTTGAGGTGAGGAATGCAGCTCCTGAAGACTTGGACAAAGGGAACTGAGATTTTGGAGTGAGAGGCTGAGGCTATGTGGGGTGTGAGTTGAAGCATTGGATGTGAGGAAGTGAGGTGTGTGGAAGTGAGTCTGAGGTACCAGGGATGAAGAGCTGAGCTCAGAAATTCAGTTGAATTGTAAGAACATATAATGTGAGAAACCAGGGTATTTTGAGTGAGGGTATCTCAGTGGTAGAGTGCTTGCCTRTCATTCTTGAGATGAAACCCGTTTTCCAGCCAAGAGGGCTGGTTCCAAAGGGCAATCTGATCTTGTCATTCCCACCCCACAAGTCCAAGTCAGAACTCCCTCTGCCTCTATTCCGTCATTCCCTTATAGATAGGTGCTCCTTGAAGGCAGGAGGTATSGAACGCTACCTTCCCTCCTCCACTACCTCTTTTTTAAGTACTGGGAATTGAATCAGGGATTCTGTACCATTGAGCTATATCTGCAATCCTTTTTATCTTGAGACTGTATCTTGTTTAATTGGTGGGGCTGGTCTTGAACTTACAATCTTCCTGCCTCAGTCTACCTAGTCTCTGGGATAACAGGCGTGCGGCACTGCACCTCGCTTAATCTTTCCCCTTATAACCTCGACACCTGCCATAAAGCCTGGCATAGAGTAGGCACTCAATAAATATTTGTAGAATGAATGAAGTATTGGGGCCATTAGGATGAGATATTTGGAGTGAAGACGTGGAACATCAGGCAGAGGGGTGGGGAGAGGTGATAGAGCTGTCATAGAGGCAAAAGGGAAGGGTTGAGTTCTGGGAACTGGCTGCCAGCACCAGTCAGGCAGGAAGAATGGCATGTGAGGCCCCCTGGTGGGCAGACTTGAGGTGCTTTGGGAACTTTAAGGGAGGGACAGGAATGGGAACCGGCGTGAATGACAAAGGGAGGTGTGGTGAAGATGACAATAACCATCAGGATAGCTAACACACTGGGAGAGCTTGCTACTTGTACAACCTGTGCACTAAGCCCTCTGCATCAACTATTCCTTTCAACCCTTGCCACCATTCTGTGAGTAAAGGAGCTATCGGCCTCATTTTACAGAGGGGAAAACTGAAGCTGAGAAAGGTGAAATAACTTATCTCACGGCAAATAGCTACTAGGAAGTGGAACTGATATAATATCGTTGGAAGGAAGTGAACAAAAAGAGATATTGGGGGTAGTAATGGTGTTGGGGAAAATTCAGATGTAGTTATACCACCAATGGAATCCAGACGGGATTTTTTTTT